TGTAGCCTTACAATTTATTGTAAACTGTTACAATAAAATAAAAAAAATTAAATAAATTAATATAGCGTAAGATACTTTTTTTTATCTAAACTTTCATCCTAGCTTAAGTTCTAGCTATAAAAAAATTCTATTCTCCTACTCAAATACAATACTAAAAGTTTATAAAAAATTTTTTAAATTCGCTGTCATTTCAACAAATTGTATTTTAGTAACATAGAATCAAATCATGTTCTGTAATAACTTTACAAATTGTATTTAGTCAATTAGACTAAGCCGACTTTGTCGCTTATCTGACACGCTTATCAAATGATTTCAACACTAATTACACTCGCGCATTACGACACACTCTGGCCATGGCAGTGACAATTGCAGCCACTGTACTCATATGTGCAGCGAGCGTAACTAGCTCTAGATCCACATCATCATTTGAAATAAAGCATGAAATGTGCAGTTAGAAAATTCGCCGAATGACTATAAAAGTGCAGCTCGGGCTAAGGGCAAATTAGTGTGATACGAACAAGCTCAGAATGAAGTCCAAATTTGCATGCATTTTGCTTTTCAGCTGCCTGATTAGCTATGTGGTGGTAAGTTCGAATCGAGTGAGTGAAGCTTACAGATTAAATCTCATATATTTGAATTTAGGCTCAGAAGCCCGAAATGACGCAGCAGGTTGTCTCCAGCTGCATGACGGAGAATGGCGTTACGGAGCAAGAGCTGAATGGTCTGAAATCTGGTGAGGTGAAGCTGGAGGATGTCAAGGACAATGTGAAGTGTGCCTCGCAGTGCATCATGGCCAAGCTGGGCTTCATGAATAGCAAAGGAGTGCTACAAGACGATAAGATAATGGACTTCTTCAAGGACGGACCCATGCAGGGGCAGGCCGAAAAGGCTTTGGAAGCCTGCGGCAGTACCACCGGTGCCAATCCCTGTGACACGGCGTTCCAAATTATGGTCTGCCTAGAGAAGCACGTCAACGAGCTGATGAAGGCATAAATGGAGCTGCAAAAGGGGAAGCCAGGGCATATATATATACATATATACATCTATCTATATATAGAATGTTTGGACATTCGCAAAAACTAATATAAACACAGAATATCTACTTGAGCGGAGCAAATAAATTTCTTAAGCATGCTTTTATTAGTTTCAAATTTAATATGGAATTTTAGCAGTGCAAACTCTTCGAATATTTCCAGCATCGCTGTGGTTTCGCTTGCGTAATTGAGTTCCAGCAACTGCTCAACAGATGGCGCCACCATGAAAAACTTACAAGTTTTTCCTTTCCTTATATTCCCTAATAGCCCAGAAATTTAGTTCATTTACGCTGCAAATATCTTCAATATTTTGTTGTATTTTTTAGTTTTTTCTCTCTCTCTCTCTCTCTCTCTCCCGCCACTGTCGACCAACAGATGGCGCCACTTGCCACTTAAACAAGTTTCTTGGTTAATTTTTGATCATATTTTAAAAGCATCTGCAAAATGCTAACAATTTAATTATATATTTTGAACTCTTGGCACAAGACAAACGCAATACTCATAAAATCATAGCCCCTGGCAACAATTTCAATCGAATTGGCAGGGTCGGGACAGTTCGATGGCTTTGCTGTTGTTGTTGTTACTGTGTTATCGGAAGGCTAAGGGCATAGAAAGTTTTGTTGTTAAATAGACAACGCACTGCTCTGACAGCTTGCGGGCTGAGTATGCGCCGCTCTATGGTCGTGTTCTATTATTATTGCAAAGAATTTTTAATTTGTGCATTGCGAAAATATTTATTGAAACCGAAAAAACGCCAAGAGGCACAAGAACTTGACTTCCAAAAGACGAGGATGTAGCAAAAACAAACAGGAAGCATGAAATTGTGAAGTTAAGTGTGCTTGGCTGAAAGTTAGGCTGTGAGAAAGTCTAGAATATGAATACCCTAAGACGAGTCAGATATATTGATTGGTCATAAATAAAGAAAAGTATTATATATAGAACAAGTACTTATCTTTATAATTGTTATATATTACTAAGTTGATAGATATATTTATTAATATAGCTAACTCATAGGAATTGTCAATTCAATTGTAAGTCAATTTTAAACTATATCAAGCTCTTAAATATTAAACTATCTCATGATTAGTAAACAAATATTTTTATTTTTTTCTCTTTAATTTTAATGTGTATTACTAAAAAACTAATAAGCTCTTTCTTAAGTTCTTTCTCAGTACAGGGTATCCAAAGGCCAAAGAAAAACAAAAATCGGAAAATAAAAGAAATTGCCGACTTTGCGATTCACTTGTTCATACACACACATACTTGAAAATATATCTAAACGTACATATATATATATAGAGAGAGAGAGAGACAGCTTTAATAGAACAAGCTGCAGCTTAAAGTGCGTCTAAAATATATATATATTCAAGTGAATTGCAATGCGGTGGCAACCCTTTTTTCTGCCAGCTACTAGGAGAGCTCTGTTTGTCAGTAATAGCCACTGAAACCTGGGCAAACAAATTGAATGAAATCAACTCGTTAAAAAGTAAATAACTCTGATGAATGGACTGGAGCACACAAAGCACATACCTGAACTTTGCGCCCAGGTAGCCGCCAGGTAGGCGGGCAACGGACTCTGTCAGTCAATTGAAAATGAAATACAAATAAAAATGCAAACAACGGAACGACTGCCGCCTCCCCAAACGCATTGCCCACATACAAATGTTGGGCTAAGCAGACAGCCCAGCTCTGGACTGCCTGGCTGGCTGGCTGCCTGGCTGGCAGGATATGCCGCTGACGACGTCTGGACTTGGCCGAGGAAATTAGTCGACGACACAGAGGCTCAGAGCACCAGAGCCGGTGGCGCTGGCAACTGCTTACAATGTGGCATCGCATATATACAAAAGAAATTGAAAATTGTGAAACGGGCTACAAGGAAATGGACTGTAAGCAGCCGCAAGGAAACAGGAGGCTCACAACTGCAACTCGCAGCTCGAAACTCGTTCGGTTGAGTATTCCGGGAAACTGAAAACTGGATTTCGCATTCATCGATGAACTTTCAATAACAAAACTTTCCGTTTGCCGTTGATATTTTTCCCCCTTCTTCGTTTTCTATTTGCTGGCCTTTTTTCTTAGCCATATTCCATGCTCTGCTGTTTTTAAGTTTTCAAGGATATGACATTGAATTGCACTGGCAACTAGCTGAAGTGCCCCTGCAGTCGGGCAACCATATAAAAAGAGAAGAAACGAAGTTTTACCACCCACGTGAAGTGGTATTTGAAAAGTTTTTTTATTTTTTATTTTTTGCGCTCGAAAAGTTTTTATTACAAAAAATGAAAATGGCATAAGAACATATGGTTGATTAGTAGCAGTAGTAGGCGACAGGGTTTCTATGAAAGAATATTACAATATAAGTAGAGATTCCAAGAGAGGATAAGGTATGGTAAGGGTTTCAATGAATTTTAGATCATATCTGCAGAAAATATATAAAATAATATATCA